CCTTGTCGGTTATCAGTGATGGCTAAAATTCGCAACGTTTCAACATAATATTTCAATTTCTGTTACAAATATATTCGATTGATTTGAAATGAAAAGTAGCAACAACGGGTCATTGAAGTCTTTATTTTATATTTTTTTGTAAGTGTATTTAAAATGTCATTCGTTTTATTTATGGCGGTACTAAGGTATATAAAATCTTTAACTACCTCGCAGCTGTAGTTCTCATGCTGCACGGTTCATTCCTCTTCCCATCCATGGTAAAATTTCCGGACTTCATTCTGACTGCTATCACAACATGATCAATTTGATTTCTCGTTGCTTGATCAGGAGAAATCCATGTGGCCTTGTATATCGAGATGTTTGAATCTGGTGCTGCTACTACCATGTCTTTTGCTGCCGCAAAGTCAATCAACCTCATCCCGTTTCCGGCGGTGTGACCAAAAATATTTTCCAATTTTTGCATTAAAATCTCCTAGCAGAATTTTAATATCATGGCCAGGGCAGTGGTCATATGATGTTTCTAGGCGCTCTTAAAATATATCTGTGGTCTGCACATCTTTGTCTTCCGTCGGAGCATGAGCGCAAATAAGACTGATGCAGAATAACTTCGCTTTTATACCGATTATGACAATTCGCTCATCTACTGGATTGAATCTGGAGACGAGGTCTTTTATTCTCCTGTTAACCATAAATCCTCAGCCAAATTCACATCTCGTTTCATGGCAGCTGTAATACATCTGATTTACTTACGCCAGTGTCATTCTATCGCATTTCCTGTAAGGCAATAATAACAGTAGGTCGAAGAAGCAGTGGACCAATGGTTCCTATTTTCTGACTTGATCTAAGTTTAGTAAAGGTAATAGGTTGTGCAAAGTTTGGTTCAGATCGCACATTTCATTCGCCTGATGTTGGATTTAGAAATATTGAATATTTTGACCCCCTGTGGGGGACACTAAGTGTGTAAGAACTATTACGTTTTGCTGAAATTGGTAACTCCTTTCTAGAGTTAGCGTGCGCGTAATTTGATTAACCATAAGGCTGAGAGTATTCAAAATTGGCTGATAGGTGACAATTTCCAGTAGGGTCTGTAGTAAAACTTTGTGGCGAAATTGTTGTAGAATACCTTGGCATGCTTAAACCCAGTTTTAAATGAGGTTTCAATCATTTCTGGAAAAGGGGAACGAAAAGAGAGAAAGAGAGACTTAACATATTTTACTTTAAATCTGGCGAAAATATACATGGGAGCTATATCTAAATCTGAACCGATTTGTCTCAATTACAATAGGGTTTGCCTTTTGGCCAAATGGATGAGCTGTGCCAAATTTCATCCAATTCGGATTATAAATGCGCCCTGTACTTTGTTTACAATTTAACATGGACAGAAGGACGGACGGACATGCATAAATCGACTTAGAACGTGATTCTATGCATAGTCTCAAAAGGAACCATGTCTCTATGTCGTTTCCTTTTGCCTGTTACAAACATATGTACAAACACATATGTACAAGAATACCACAGTGTGGTGAAGGGTATGTGAAGACGATAGGAGCTAACTATCGAGGAATAAGTCTACCTCCCACCCCCTATAAATTGCTATCCAGAGTGCTATATGAACGACTGAAGCCAGCCCTGGCAAATCCACCATAAACATATTTTCACTCTACGCCAAATCCTGGAAAAGACCCACGAAAAACACATCGGAGTCAGTCGTATTGAGCTGCAGCGACTACGATGGCTAGGTCATGTGCGAATGAATGAATGTCAAATTTTGTATTGGATTTTTTGTCGAGATACATTTTTGATAGCGTACTGTGTTGCAGGATAGTAAATGATGGATGCCACCCACGGTTGCTCAAATACGTCCATTTATATATAGATCGTCCAAGATCTATGGGAGATAATCGAGATAAATTTTTGATAGCACACTGTGTTGCAGCATAGTAAAGGGTGGATGCCACCCACCAAATACGTCCATTTATATATAGATCTTTTAGATATTTTGCTCGATGATTGACATTCAGTTTTTCATAAATTTCAGATTGGTAGCGAAAGTGGTGAAGGGTATCATAGAGTCGGTCCCGTTCGACTTTTGAACTTTCCTTACTGGTTGGATTTTTGCCAGATTTTTGCTTTTATTTTGCTGTCGAATTTATTGACAAAATGGATAACTCGATATTCGCTTGACCAAAACATATGTAAATCTGAGAGATTTAAAAATATCCTTATTACATGTATCATAGTTTATATTTTTGTCTCAACATTTAAATATGCGTGAGTGTTAATAAAAATTTTAATAAATATTTAATATAAAATATGTATACCATAGATAGAGTAACAAACAAAATTTATTTTTTAAAACAAGGAAATACATTTTTAGTGAAGTAAATATCGTATATTACTTATTGAGTACATTTGTATTATTCGATATATGTATAATAAAGGAAGAAAGTACAAAGAAAAATTAAAAAAAAAATAATAATTGTGTTTCAATTATTCACGGTGTGTCTTTTTAGAAACCTATGTTTACTATGCGTCCGTTTTTGGGTTTAATCGGACGTACATTTGTATAAATCGGTTGACCATTTTCATCCTGCAAAGGTAGGAAAAGTTCATACTCAAATTTTTGAATATGTCTTGGTTGTTTCAAAAGAATGATATCGGCATCCGCGCAAGGTGGTGTTGTCAGAGAACTCCTATATTTAAAGTACGTATAGGCAGAATATGGTAACAATAGATACTCAATGAAATCAAAAATGGGAACCTCTTCAGCATATGAATAGGTGCCAAAGCCCACAATTTTCTCAAGTGCCGACTCAAGGTCTGACAATAATGTGACATCGATGATGGTGTCATCTATAATGCATTGGACACTAATGATTAACAGACCATCAGGATGATTGCTGGCCTCATCGAAGTCCAAATAGTTTTCGTTGATGAACACATAATGGAATTCACAATCATGGTGCTGGCCATTAATGAAGTTCTCCGATGATGGAGCGCCATTATAACGCCAATGGATGCGGAAATGATCAAGGTTATATAGTGGGCCATTTCCAATGCGCACTGCGGGCTTAGGCAGTGGTCCCAATAAACGTCCTGTTATATAACGGCCATTATTGTGGAGTTGTATTAGATAAGCCGCTTCGATATTCTCAAACACCAATTCGTCGAATTTAACTACGACTACCTGCAAATGAAAAAAAAAACCATATTCATATGTATATTTAGGGATACTTGTCTTGAAGGGGTCACGTACATACCTCATCAACAACTATATCAATAGGCGATTGGTAAAGTCCTCCACACTTGGGATAAGTTGTGGGCCAGAGGTTCTCCAAAGGATAGGTCCATGGATCGGCTGAGAACAACATATTACAGAAGGCAAAAGTGTTACTAACAGCTGCAGTTAAATGTTATAGCTAACACCTGCACTTACAGTTAACGCTGCACAAAGCAATCGAGGATAATAATAAAATACTCAAAATATTTTTCATTTTGGGGGAAGGTGTTGCTGTTGTTGTTGGTACCTTTCGGTTGAAGTGAACTTGTAAGCAGTAGCAAATGAGCTCTGAATACATGTTTCATGTTGAATACATGGCCTGGGGACCATTAATTCTGAAAATTACAGGACTAGATATTATATGAGGTTGGGAAAAAATAAATCCATTATTTTTATATGAACTATAGGCCTTTATTTAACAAGCTTCGGAATGTCCGATTTGGGCCAAATATGCACTGTTTTGTTATATGATTTGTTGCCACTTTAAAGCAGGTAACTTCATAATTCCTCTCTCATAAAGTTCTGCTCTTTATTTGCAAAAAAACTCTAATAGTCGATTTTACAATCCTCCTTATGTACAATTTTTTTTTATAAAAAAATTTCAATGTAAGAAAATTATGATAATAGCTTGGTGCTAAGTCCGGACTGTATGGCGAATGCATTAAAACTTCCCAACCAAGCGTCCGAAGTTTCTGGCGAGTCACTGTAGATGTGTATGGTCTAGCGTTGTGCTGGTGGAACACGACACCTCTCCTGTTGGTCAATTCTGGCCGTTTCTGGTCAATTGATATCTTCAAACCGTCCAGTTGTTGACAGTGGAGATTATTATTTAGCGTTTGGCCATATTCATGCAACTCATAATAAATAATCCCCTTCCAGTCCCACAAAATGTGCTAAAGTTATTGAACTCGCACGTTACGAGTGTTACAACACACAACCCAGAATAACTGAGTAGAGATCGCAGAGTGCGAAACACATACATTCTAGACGATAAGATTTTTAGTGTTAAGAGTACCTAAGTAGATGTAAGATGTAAGTCTCCAAATGAAGTCCGTCGTTATTCATCAAGATCTGTGGGAGATAATCGCCGAGGAAATGAGTGAAGATAAAAATGCTGAGTGGAGAAAAAAGACCTATTAGTAATTATGATCCTCGCCAGTCACTAAATTTTCATATGAGCTTGGATATGAAAATTTAGTGGTTGCCATAGAGTCGAGGGAAAGTGCGTTGGCCGAAGAAAACGAGAGGAGAAAATCGTCAATGGGCATCACAGAAAATTCCACAAAGGCATTTATGGCGCAAAATAAATGGAACCCCAATTGAGCAAATACCAACCACAACAATAGAAGAAGAAAATACAACGCACATTCAGAAAGCTCCAATAACAATAAAAATACAACGCAAAAATAGAGGATCCCGCACCCACAAAAACAACGAGTGTTTTAACTGCGGTGGTAGAGGCCACTATGCTGCGCAATGCAAAAAGGGTGAGCATGAGTACACAAGTTTAGCGACGATAGACAACAACAACATCAATAAAAAGGTCTGGGGTTTAGATAGCTGTGCGTCCTCGCACATGTGTAGTGACCGAAATTTGTTTACGACGTTTGAGGATCATAGCTGGCGAAATGACAATAAAAGCAAAGGGGAAGTGGAGAGTGCGGATCAATGAGGGTGACGTTGTGCTCAACGATGTGTTATATGTACCGAACCTACAATACAATTTCATATCGGTAGGTAGAGTAGCGGCAGTCCATAATGTAAAAGTTGGAAAGAAATGCGCAAGAATAATCAACAACGGGAGAATTGTGCCGACAGCAAGAAGAGTGGGGAATGTGTTTCTATTCAACGAACCTCAGAAGAAGGTGTTTATGGCTGCAACAAAAACAAATCGAAAGATATGCAGAACCCGTTACGGTCGACAAAGAGGGGAGAGCCCTCAGCATCAAAAAGAGTCGAATGTGTTTAGAAAACAAGAACATGTATGTACCGTTAGGTCAAATATTGTCGAGCCGTTATAAATATGAGATTTAGGGGAAGCCAAGAAAATGAATAATGGTTGTAAATTATTTAAGGGAACTCCCCCCATTCTCGATTTTAATTTTTCAAGATTTTCAATGGGCTAGTAAATGAATACAAATGCTTGTTAAGGTTTGTGACTTTGCACATATATATTTGAAGATTTAAAAGAGAAGAAAAATAATTTATAAACAATTTTTGTTATTGTTTTGTTGTTGTTTTTTGTAATTAAGTCCTTATTTTTGATGGCGGGCATGATAACTCCTCACTGGAACATCGGAATCCAAAAATTCCAACGGTGTTAGAAAGAGTACATGTCTGGCTCTCGTATGAACTAGAATTATTGACTTCGCTCTAAAATTAACAGAATGGTGGACCTTTGAAAAAATATTTTTGGAAAATCGCCGATTTTTTACCAAAAACCAAGTTAAAAAATAAGGAAGATCTTCACCGATTGACTTTATTCTAGTTCATACGAGAGCTATACACTCCCAGAGAAACGTTGCAAAATTTGGAACCGATTGGATTATTAGTTTTTGAGTTATCGTGCCTGCCATTCGGGGGTCCCCTTAAATTGACAATTTGTAATATGTTTACAAAAACTAATAAAGAATATTTTGATTTGTGTTTTAGATGGTATCTGGGTATGTGTGTTGAGGGGAAGTGTTGAAGTTATTGAACTCGCACGTTACGAGTGTTACAACACACAACCCAGAATAACTGAGTAGAGATCGCAGAGTGCGAAACACATATTCTAGACGATAAGATTCTTAGTGTTAAGAGTACCTAAGTAGATGTAAATAAAATTACTCTGTACACAGCAACCACACGAAGCAGAAGTCTTTTATTTGATAACAAGATCAGACAACCAGGAATAGAGTTTAACAAAATGAATAGCAGAACCTTCCTGGAACCTTGAATCCAGCTTTGTGAAAATGGGTTAAAATAGTTTTATGGTAAATTTTTTGCTCCTGGGCGATGTTACGACTGCTAACATGCCTCTAACATTGACTGTTCCAATATCGGAACCATAGACACCATTTATGCATGTCCGTCCGTCTGTCCATGTTAAATTGTAAATAATGTACAGGTCGCATTTATAATCCGAATGGGATGACATTTGTCACAGCTCATCTATTTGGCCAAAGGACGAACCCTATTGAAATTGGTTCAGATTTAGATACAGCTCCAATATATATTTTCGTCCGATTTAATGTAAGTTTTGTTCCAAAGTCCCTATACAGCTTTCGATTTGCGCGAAATTTGGCGTAGCGTACTGAATGAACTCTAGAATAATGTGTGTAAAGTTTCCTGAAAATCGGTTCAGATTTAGATATAGCTCCCATATATATGTTTGCCCGATTTAATGTAAATGGTGTACCAAAGTCCATATATATCTTTCGATTTACACCATATTTGGCACAGCGAATTGAATTGAGTCTAGAGTGATCGTGAAAATCGGTTGAAATTTATATAAAGCTCCCATATATATTTTCGTCCGATTTTATGTAAATTGCGCACTAAAGACCCAAATCTCTCCACAAACGATTATAAATATAGGTCCATTATATATATAGGGAGATTCGTTAAAATTGTATTATATTTGTACTATAATATATTATATTATCGGCATAGGACCACTTTTTGGTTTTTTCCTTATATCTTCCATTCCATTAAAGGTGTCAATTATTTATTATCTACATGTAGCCATCTTCCTGATAACCGATAGGCTTTGCTTGCATATACATCCACGTGTTTGTAATTCAATTTGACCCCCAAAATCATCAACGCCATTCAATTGCGTTATCTTAAGTAATTGCACGAGGTGCAATTTGTGTTTTCGTAGAAACGCCAACCCTATCGTCCAGATACTTAAGATAACGCACTGTAATAGCGTTGTTGAATTAGGGGGTCAAAATTTCTGTCACCTAGGAGTGTCTGACGGTTAGTCCTCCTGTCGGTTATCAGTGATGGCTAAAATTCGCTACGTTTCAACGCAATATAATTTTGACCGATAATAATTCAATTTCTGTTACCAATATATTCGATTGATTTGAAATGAAAAGTAGAAAAAACGCATTTCCAGAATTCGATCGCGTCTTAAAAAATCGGGTCATGTAATAGCGTTGTTGAATTAGGGGGTCAAATTTCTGTCACCTAGGAGTGTCTGCCGGTAAGCCCCCCTGTCGGTTATCAGTGATGGCTAAAATTCGCAACGTTTTCAACGCAATATAATAATAGCGTTGTTGAATTAGGGGGTCAAATTTCTGTCACCTAGGAGTGTCTGCCGGTAAGCCCCCCTGTCGGTTATCAGTGATGGCTAAAATTCGCAACGTTTCAACGCAATATAATTTTGTAATATTCTTTATATTCTTAATTGACTGCTGCTGCTGTTATTGCAAGGGTGAGTAAGGTCCCGAAAATGTTATTAAGCTGCCTGTAAAATTTGTATTCTTTTATTTGTATTTTTATACCCTACACAACAATGTTGTCAGGGTATTATAGATTTGTGTAGCCCCAAGAGTTTGTAACGCCGCGAAATATTGGTCCCAGACCCACCTTTAAGTATACCGATCGTCATATCTCGACTAGCTGAGTCGATCTAGACATGTGTGTCCGTCCGTCTGTCCATTATAATTTGTAAACACGATACAGGCCACAGTTGTGGACCAATCTTCACGAAATTTTGCATGTAGGATGGGTTCTGGCCAATGAAGATCCCTATTGTTTTTGGAAAAGATCGGTTAATATTTAGGGGATGAAATGGACCAAATACTTAATTTTTTTCGGTTTTTCAGGTCGCTCTAGAGTCCGCAATTATGGTCCGAACATATCGAAATTTTACATGGAGAAGGGGGTGGGTCCTAAGAAAAAGCATGTCTGCTTTCATAAAGATAGGTCAATACTTAGCGAGTCAAATGGACCCTGACTTTTGTGTGAAAAATTACAAAATTTGTATTCTATGGCGTATATATTTACTCCTGAAGGACATATACCCGAGGAGTTGGTAGTATATCCAAGAGGAGTGGTTGAAATTTAAATTGATACCAATTATATTGTATGTACTCGGATGTGGGAGTTACACTTAAATATTTACAGGTACTTATGTATTCAGATATTATTTAGTAACCCATTACCACACTACAGGGCGGAAATATAGCGCTGATCGTTTTGAAATTTTCCATGAGGTTCCCCTTATGGTCAAGGACAACGCCTATAATATTCGGTGGTGATCAGATTATAATTATGGGATGAAGTGAACAGAATACCTACTTTTTTCGAGTAAATGCCAATAATAAACCGAACATCACAACACAACCCATGATGAAGGGAATCTGGACAATTAATTAGGAGGGCAGTACTGAATATTGGTAATATTCGGAAAATATGACAGTGTAAGGAAGAGGTGCTGTTGACCTCAAGAAATATTGCACAGGGTCGGAATAAACATCCGCAGAAAGTTAGAGTTCCGTGGTAGTTGTGTAGGGTATCGTATGGTCGGCCCCGTCCGACTATTCTGCTCCGCTCACTGGTTATTCTTGTATTAGCCCGAATGTGGCAGAGATCGTCAGTCGCCAATTGGTTTATATAGTGAGAATCAGAGATGCCTATTTGAGCACTATTTGGAAGTCAAAAATACAATATCAACCCAATGACATATTTAGCACTATTTCTAGATTATATCAAATTATTCCCACTTACAACTTTCCTTACAGGTTTTATTATGACTGTTCAGAAATCGCAAATGTCTGATAGAAATGAAATTTGACAATTTTTGCATTAAGCACTCTTCTACGAACACTGCAATGTTCTTCTTATCTGCGAACATTGCAGTTTATCATTTAAAGTCGTGTTAGCAATTAGTAAAAATGGTGTCGACAAACAACTGAAAACAGACAATTAACTAAATTCAATATCAACAATAGCAATTTAATTGACAATTAATTATGTAAAACACTCTGTGATAATTAAAACGCCAACTAACAAATTATTTTGCTATAAATCCGCAACAAAATGTCAAAATCGTATGTATTCGATTTTCAAGGGTTCAACGAACAGTTCGAATGGAACAATTGTGGATAGTTGTCTTGTTAATTGCCAGTGTACAGGGTAATGTTAAACGGCTTTAAATTTAATAATAAAAAAACTAAATTAAAAATTCTTAAATCTTTAGCATGGACATATGAAGGTCAAAATGAATGGTCTGAGGAGTATCCAGCATGTGGTTCTAAGCGTCGTCAATCACCCATTAAATTCAATACAATGGAGGTATGATATCTCTTACTTACTTAGCTGCTTGGTCTTCTCGCCGTTTACTGTCAGTCCCACTTTGGCAGACTCCTTCTCAATTTGTTCAAAAGGTGGCTGTTACCGCTCGCAATGTTCGACCCATTATGTCGATGTCATCGGCGTAGGCGAGTAACATGTGTTGTTTGGTGTACAGATTGTCATTTCTGTTTACTTTTGCCTCTCGTATGACCTTGTCCAGCAGGATGTTAAAAAGATCACACCACAAACTGTGACCTTGTCTGAATCCTCGTTCGTTGAGGTTCCAATCATTGCGCATACATTCCTCCAGCCAAATAGTACTAACCTACTGGTGTATGCTCCTGACCAATATCAGCAACTGCTTCTTTATTGTTCCTGCTCACGCTTTTCTTTTTCTTTATTATTTTTTCTGAAAATACGTTTCTCCTCTCTCCTTTTCTCCCGATGATTCTTCATCGTCTTACGTATTGCTATTGTCTGCAGGGTTGCTCAGTACGCTGTGTTTTTCATATCAGTAGCATTACGACACTCGTGATCGTACCAAAGGGGGTTTTGTTGCAGTTTGTAGGGAGCGGGCAATTCTTTACCATTGAGCTTCTATATTATTTTCCGTATAAGGAGTGCTTTCGTCAAGCAGGAGGGTATGTTGAGCGGAGTAGTCTACTGCTAACCGAATCGAGATTCGCTCCTCGGATCGATGGAAGGAAATCATTCTAGACCTATATTCAGTACGCTGTGCCAAATTTCGTGCAAATCGACTTTGGTACACCATTTACATAAAATCGGACGAAAATATATATGGGAGCTATATCTAAATCTGAACCGATTTTCGCGAAACTTTACACACATCATGCTAGACTTAATTCAGTACCCCATGCAAAATTTCGTGCAAATCGAGAGATATGTATAGGGGTTTTGGTACACCATTTACAGTAAATCGGACGAAAAAATATATGGGAGCTATATCTAAATCTGAACCGATTTTCAGAAAACTTAACACACATCATTCTAGACCAATTTCAGTACGCTGTGTCAAATTTCGTGCAAATCGAAAGATATATAGGGACTTTGGTACACCATTTACTTTAAATCGGACGAAAATATATATGGGAGCTAAATCTGAACCGATTTTCGCGAAACTTACATCATTCAAGACTCAATTCAGTACCCCATGCAAAATTTCGTGCAAATCGAAAGATATATAGGGACTTTGGTGCACCATTTACATTAAATCGGACGAAAATATATATGGGAGCTATATCTAAATCTGGACCGATTTTCAGGAAACTTAACACACATCGTTCTAGACCTATTTCAGTACGCTGTGTCAAATTTCGTGCAAATCGAAAGATATATAGGGACTTTGGTACACCATTTACATTAAATCGGACGAAAATATATATGGGAGCTATATCTAAATCTGAACCGTTTTTTTTCCAATTTCAATAGGGTTTGTCCTTGGGCCAAATATGTGACATATGCCAAATTTCATCCCAATCGGATCATAAATGTGACGTGTAGTTCGTTCACAAAAATACATGGGCTGACGGACAGACGGACGGACATGCGTAAATCGACTCAGAAAGTGATTCTATGCATATTCTCAAAAGGAACCATGTGTCTATCTCGTTTCCTTTTGCCTGTTACAAACATATGCACAAAGACATAATACCCTGTACCATAGTGTGGTGAAGAGTATAATCATAATGTTTATTAGTGTTGGAACAATCACATGTGACAGATGTGGATATGTTACACATTTCAATATAATTTAATTGTATGCCAGTGAGCTGCATGCGTGTAAATGCGATCATAAAGCCCACAATTCATATAAAAAATTCAATTATTTGTCGAAAATATCTACAAATACTCTAACATTGTCCTTCTCATCCCACACCAGGTCTACACCAAAGGCTATCCACCCTTAAACTACAACAACTACAAAACACCCAGCACCGTGACTATAACTAACAATGGTCACACGGCTGAAATTCAATATCCCAACGATGCCGCCAAACCACAACTATCCGGTGGTCCACTACCCAATGGCACCCTCTATGAATTCGCAAATGTACACTTTCATTGGGGAGCCAATGATAGTTTGGGTTCCGAACATGTCATCAATCGTCAACGTTATGCCGCCGAAGTACATGCGGTGCACTATAACACCCGCTATGGTAGCCTGGAGGAAGCATTAAATTATGGTGATGGTGTAGCGGTGCTAACCACATTCTATCAAGCTAATCCGGCACAAAATCTAACCGGTTTACAAGATGTTAGTGAGGCTCTAACGCTCATCCAAGCCTATGAATCATCAACAGAAATTGAAAATTTTAAATTGTCAGGACTCTTCGGTGGCATTGATAGTTCCAGTCGAAATTTTTATTATACCTATTTGGGATCGTTGACAACACCACCCTGTGCCGAGGCTGTTATTTGGATAATTTCGACACGTTCGCTTGATGTTAATCCCCAGCAGTTGGTACCATTTCGTTTGCTATTGGATGAAAATGGCGAGGCCTTGGTGAATAATTTCCGTGAACTGCAGAGGAAGAATGGCAGACGGATTTATTTGAATCGTCCACGTTTGGGAAAAGATGGAGATGAATAAATGTCGAATTGAAACGAGCAATGAAACAAGGGACAAAAAAAAACCTAGATATGAAGGCTAGCTGAAATATTATTATAGGTATTATATAGTTTATTATATAACATTAAAGGCAGTCATACAAAATTGTATATATGTTTGACGAGATGTTATTGGTCCTTTAGTAACACAAAGAGATATGTACGATGTACGATCGTGCATATATCGAAAGAAATATAGGAACATTGGTGCACCATTTACAAAAAATCGCACGAAAATATATATGAGAACTATATCTAAATCTGAACCGATTTTTCCCAATTTAGAGTTCGTCCTTTGGCCATATAAATGAGCTGTGCCAGTGTGGTGAAGTGTAAAAAAAGGTTATATTTTCAGAAATTTTATAAGGTATTGCAACCGATTTCGAAAATATCCAATGTTGGTCCACCATTAGGTATATACCCCACAATAGGTTCCACACCAATACATATAGACTTAATTGTGATTGAAGAACATGTTTTTAAACTGTCTGTAATATGACATTGCGGTTTCCGATATTTTGCATACCTCTTCGTGAATAGCCTCAACTATGTGCAACGTGACCGTTTCATACATTATGCACGACCCAAGTTATGTCAACCCACCTCAATATTTAGTAGTGAATAACGTCTCACCCTAAACCTAAACCAGTATCATTACCTGCGTTCTTCAACTTCATTGCATTTATCAACAGACAAATTTCATAGTACCATACGGATATATGTTCCACTGTTCCATGTCGAAGTGGTCGACATCGGATGTTAACGAACTACGAGTGACGAAGATGTGTGGCTCGTCCGCAGTCTCGTACACTGGTAAAGGTTAACGACGGTTCGACCTCGCTCATAGCCAGCTTCCCGCTCTTTGCCAGCTCCTCGCTCATAGTCAGCTCCCCGCTCTTTGCCAGCTCCTCGCTCTTTGCAAGCTCCTCGCTCATAGCTAGCTCCCCCGCTCATAGCTAGATCCCCCGCTCATAGCCAGCTCCATACTAATAATCACTAACTACTAACCGAACCCTGACAAAAAAAACCGAACCCTGAAAAACCCCGAACCTGCCGACCAACAACGAGCCGACTGTTTCCTGCGATCACCAACGAGCCGACGGTAGCCAGCCGATCTCCAGCGAACCGACATCAGCTAGCCGAGTATCTACGAGCCGACTGTATCCTGCCGATCACCAACGAGCCGATGGTAGCCAGCCGACCTTCAACGAGCCGACATCAGCTAGCCGAGTATCTTCGAGCCGATCTTCAAGCCGACTGTAGCTCGCCGATCACCAACGAGCCGACATCAGCTAGCCGAGTATCTTCGAGCCGACTGCAGCCAGCCGATCTCCAACGTACCGACAGCAGCTAGCCGATCTTCAACGAGCCGACATCAGCTAGCCGAGTATCTTCGAGCCGACTGTAGCCAGCCGATCACCAACGTACCGACAGCAGCTAGCCGATCTTCAACGAGCCGACTGTAGCCAGCCGATCTTCAACGAGCCGACATCAGCTAGCCGAGTATCTTCGAGCCGACTGTAGCCAGCCGATCTCCAACGTATTGACAGCAGCTAGCCGAACCTCAACGAGCCGACTATAGCCAGCCGATCTTCAACGAGCCGACATCAGCTAGCCGAGTATCTTCGAGCCGACTGTAGCCGGCCGATCTCCAACGTAACGACATCAGCTAGCCGAGTGTCTTCGAGCCGACTGTACTTAATCACCCCCGAGCCGACTGTAACCAGCCGGCTATTAACGATCCGACCTTCATACCCAGCTACCATTACCGATTAGAAGATTCCAACATAAAAGCTTATCTCACATCCAAACTATTATTCATATTGTAAACACCAGAGTATTATAATAAAGATTGAAATTGTAATCACTCGTGTTTTTACTTAAGGTTTGTGGGTCCTTAGGTTGACCCTGGCAGCGACTGAGCTTACTTCAGCCTTAGTTAAAACCACTCGTTATATATGTTGTCAGGGTATTATAGCTTTGTGCAGCCCCAAGAGTTTGTAATGCCGCGAAATATTGGTCCCAGACCAACCTTTAAGTATACCGATCATATCTCGACTAGCTGAGTCGATCTAGACATGTGTGTCCGTCTGTCCATTATAATTTGTAAACATGATACAGGCCACAGTTATGGACCAATCTTCACGAAATTTTGCATGTAGGATGGGTTCTGGCCAATGAAAGATAGGTTAATATTTAGGGGATGAAATGGACCAAATACTTAATTTTTGTCGGGTTTTCTGGTCGCTCCAGAGGCCGCAATAATGGCCCGAACATCGCGAAATTTTACATAGAGAGGGGGATCGAGGCAATGCCTGTTTTGATAATGATCGGTCATTATTTAGCGGGTCAAATAGACTCTGACTTTTGTGTGAAAAATTACAAAATTTGAATTCTATGGCTTATATATTTACTCCTGAAGGATATAGACCCGATAAGTTGATTGTATATCCAAGAGGAGTGGTTGACCTTTAAATTGATACCAAACATATTGATGTATCTATTCGGATGTTTGAGTTATACTTAAATATTTACAGTTGAAATTTTCCATGAAGTCTAATTATGGTCAAGGAAAACGCCTATAATTTTCGATGATGATCAGATTAAAATTTTGGGATGAAGTGGACCGAAAACATTCTAGTCGAATATAAGCCGAATATCACAACTCAACCCACCGTGAAGGGAATCTGGATTAGTAGTTAGAAGGGATGTACTGAATTTTTGTAATATTCGGAAAATGTAAGGAAGATGTGCTGTTGACCTCTAATCGTCGGGGCAAATATCACGAGATATTGCCCAGGCTCGAAATAAAATTAGGGTTCCGTGGTAGTTGTGCAGGGTATCGTATGGTCGGCCCCGTCCGACTATACTGCTCCGCTCACTGTTTTTGATTTAGAGAGTTTGAACAAATATATATTGGTAAACCCATTATTCGGGATTTTTAGGAGTTTATAAAATATGCAGTCTCTTCGGAGGCTGCATATTTTATATGGGGGCTATGTCAAAGCATCTTCTACCTAGTTGGCTCGAAACAGAACATTTGTTCCATAAGCAGAACTTAAAAAGGATTTCCAGGATCGTCGGTCTTGTGATTTGAAAGACCATGTTCTGAAATGTTGTTTTCCACTTGACCTTTCAACCGAATTCTGCGTAAATCATCAGTTAGCTCGCTTATATATAAGCTTTTGGAGCATCCTCATCCACTCTCACAACATGACCTAGCCACCGTCGCTGCAGCTCGATGTGTCTGAATATGTCGATATCAATAGATGGTACAACTCATAGTTCCGTCGACTCAGATCGGTCCATAGATCTTCCGGAGAATTTTTCGCTCCAACACTCCAAGAGCTCTCTATCTGCAAGCTTGCAAGCTTCAGATCCGCACAAGAGATTGCCTTGTTTTCGAATTGCTTACTCAGACCATAGTAGTATCTGTTGAGCAACATTATTCTTCTTCGGATTTCTGAGCTGATGTAATTAACTTTATTTATAGTTTTTTTGTCCATAGTTTGCCCTAGTCTACTGGACGTTTTGCACGTTAATACCATGAGCTTGGTCTTCTCGCCTACAGTACTGGCAGTAAATGACGTAGGGCTTTGATTGGCTTTAACGTGGCAAATCCCAAACTTGATTCCTTTTTCAACTCTATTGTAGACACTGACGTCACCGCGGTGTCAGCTGGGGTAGCAGCGAGTTCACCCGAGTTCGTTGCCAACAATCAGTAAACCCCTCCTACTATCAAAAATTAACGAAAAGGAAACCCCCAAACATTAATCAATGTTATTATTATTTGGTAGGATTATTATTTTAAACCAGTAAGGAAAGTAGTAAAGTCGGACGGGGCCAACTATATGACACCCTTCATCACTTTGGGTATATTCAACAGATGAATCCTAACAGACGTCGCATTTTAAAAGGACCAGTAAACTGAAATTGGATCCATAAACATGTCATTCTGCAAAGAAGCTGTATCTAAATCTGAACTGATTTCAACGATTTCAGGAAATTTAACACACATCATTCTAGACCTAATTCATTACGCTGTGCAAAATTTCGAGCAAATCGAAGGATATATAGGGACTTCGGTGCACCATTTACATTAAATCGGACGAAAATATATATGGGAGCTATATCAAAATCTGAACCGATTTCACCAAACTCAGCACACATCATTCTGCACTTAATACAGAACGCTATGCAAATTTCGTGTAAATCGAATGATATATAGGGACTTTGGTGCACCATTTACATTTAATACGAAAATATATATGGGAGATATATCTGAACCGATTTTCATGAAACTCAGCACACATCATTCTATGCCGAATTCATTGTGCTGTGCCAAATTTTGTGCAAATCGAAAGATATATAGGGACTTCGGTGCACCATTTACATTAAATCGGACGAAAATATATATGGGAGCTATATCTCAATTTGAACCGATTTTTCCCAATTTCAATAGGGTTCGTCCTTGGGCCAAATAAGTGACCTATGCCAAATTTCATCCAAATCGTAAATGCGACCTGTAGTTTGTTCACAAAAATACATGGACGGACGGACATGCGTAAATAGACTCAGAAAGTGATTCTGTGCATATTCTCAAAAGGAACCATGTGTCTATCTCGTTTCCTTTTGCCTGTTGCACAAAGACATAATACCCAGTACCACAGTGTGGTGAAGGATATAAACATATAATGAGAGGCTAGCTTTATATGATATGTTTGTTATCTATAGATTTAATTTGCAATATCTACCAGTCCAGGACTTGTATTAATATTTGCATCATATTTCAAGGCTCTATCTTATATATTCCTAATTTCAAAATTATTTCCAGGATAGATGTAATTTATGGGGACCTCTACGAATTTTTCGTGTTGTAGCAAACGGAATGATAAAAGTTATATACCCTTTGTGGATATGGTGGATGTTATAACAACATTCCGCTGACAATAACTCGATCACTGAAAGTCACTTCCGAGCACAAAAAAATATTAAACAGTAGCCCTGATACAACAACACATCGATTATGCACTTCAAAATTATAGCTATAACGGTCATTGGTGTTATCTTTTTTCCTAGATAAAAATAAATGAAACATGTGCCGTTTGAATACAGCGACTATATTTGAAGCGTATGACAATAAATCTGCACCATATGCTGATAACACAACAAGAAGTTGTGGCTTTTACAACTACAAGTGTTAGAAATGATCGCCCAAACTCATGGGTTATACTACAGATACTGACTTGGATAACGATTATTGAGCGGTATTAAATTTGTACACCCTACTGTGTCACCGGGTATAAGGTCTGTGTGTGCTTCTATGTAACAGGCAACTAAGGACCAACGTTGTGGACACATATTGGACGGTATTACATACATTATTTGTCGAATGTTAGGTTTTAGGTATGTTAATAGTTGAATGTTTATCGGCATATTTGATTTAGTGCTGCTAAATCACTGATTTCCACCGCTATGCGATTTTGTAAATGGTCAGATTATTTGTATGCATGGTGTGATAGTTATGCGATCCATTTTCACCAAAAGTCAGACTTCTAACTGAAAAAAATTCGGTTTAACAACTTGAAGGATTCGAATTCCAGTTCCATATTTTTGAAACCACGAAAAGGATAGCCCATAATATTGTCCCAAAGTTCAAATATTCGTCGGATAGGGACTACAGCGCACCTTTTTTGTAATTTTTTTAGATTTTGATATATAGATTTTATATATATTTCCGTTCGATTTCTTGTGTTTATTGAAAACGGTACAGATTTAGAAATATCTACTATATATTTTTCTGCCGATTTCAAACAATGAACATTTCACAATGGATGTAAAAAATGTTGTTGATGTTGGTGCAAACTCCTTATGAGGACGAAAGTCTTTATTTTATAAAACCCAGTAGGACTAATTCACCATAGATCAAGGGTTTGAATTATGGCATAATATTTTTATCCATATTTTGTGGCCAATGTAGACTATTTTGAGATGACATATCTCCACTCAAATGAAATTATGTATATTTTTGTAAAACGTATGCTTTTTCCTCCCTTTTTCTATCCCGACCCCTTGTGGGTCTTTTTCGTGCATATACTACAAGTCGATATTTTTCCATCTCCAACTATTCTACCAAAATGTTGCTAATAAGATTATAGCGAAACATCAATGTTCGTATATTTTCATAATTTTCTTCCACGTTTACCGTTTCCTTGCTCAGAAACACTTTCATGAGTGTAAACAAATAAATTTGGTATAAATGGTAGAATATGAAGAAGTGTCGGATTCGTCTAAAATATTTTCCATTAAGCGAAATCATTATGCTAATCAAATATATAGGAGGGATACAGAGTCGGTTCCTTAAATAAATAGACGATCATAACTACTAAAAATTCGGATCATTGGACAAATAATTAAATATATGATCTACTGGTCAGTTATCAGTTATACTGGAATTTTAAGAACCCTTTATATTACAAACTTTTCGCTGACTAAGTCATACTTCGTATATGTATATTTGTCATTCAGACCCAATGGCGATAACCACCGCAGCACAAACACGTATCCGATTTTCGATTCAATGACATTGTAAGATTACAAGATCACACCCTAACATTTGGATATACAATGATGATCGGAACCACTACATACGATGAAAATTTTGATATCTCAAAATGCATCACACATTGTGTGCGAGACTGAGACCGATATGAAAATTCAATTTGATTCATTGGTAATAACTTCTGAATTCTTTGCTTAAGTATTAATTAATGGTAACAATTAATTTTGTATAAATACCCCAGCAATGTTGGAACATATATTCAGAATACATTTGTAACTTCCCACAAGTGTAATTCGACGGAAAAATAACAAAAAAAAGCTACAATTTCCCTCAAAATGAAAAATAGTTTGAGTATTTTATTGTTCTCCTCGATTGCTCTGTGCAGCGTTAATGGTAAGTGCAGATGTTAGCTATAACATTTAACGACAACTGTACGTAATACTTGTGTCTTCTGTCATTAATAGCCGATCCATGGACCTACCCTTTGGAGAACCTCTGGCCCAAGTGTGGAGGATTTTACCAATCGCCCATTGATGTAGTTTTTAGTGAGGTATGTGCATGACTCCTTGAAGTCAAAATGTCCCTAAATAAACATGCATGTGAATATTTTATTTTATTCGCAGGTAGTCGCAATTGCATTCGATGCATTGTTGTTTGAAAATATTGGGCCACTATATCTAATAGATCTCCACAATAATGGCCGCTATGTAACTGGTCATTTGGTGGGTCCCCTCTCCAGGCCTGCAGTGCGCATTGGAAATGGCCCACGATATAAATTCGACCATTTCCGCTTCCATTGGCGTTATAATGGCGCTCCATCATCGGAAAACTCCTTTAATGGTCAACACTTTTATTGTGAATTCCATTATGTATTTATCAACGAAAACTATTTGGACTTCGACGAGGCCAGTAATCATCCTGATGGGCTGTTAATTATTAGTGTTGTATGCATTATAGATGAGCTCATCGATGCATCGTTATTGACAGCACTCGTGTCGGCAGTCCAAGCAATTGTGAACTTTGACTCTTATGCATATGCCGTTGATGTTCCACTCTTCGATTTCATTGAGGATCTATTGTCACCAGATTCTAACCATCATTACTTTAAATATAGGGGTTCTTTGACAACACCGCCATGTGCGGATGCCGATATTATTCTTTTGAAAAATCCACAACATATTCGTAGATATGAGTATGATTTCTTCCTACCATTGCGGGATGAAAATAATTTACCGATTTATACAAATGTACGTCCGATAAAACCCAAAAACGGACGAATAATTAACGCAGGTATTTAATAAGTTTCGCCGTGAAGGATTGAAACACATTTTTTAAAATAACAGTATACAAATAATGTCTGTAATTTGTTTGTGTTAATAAATAACTTTCCGAAAAATATTAATTGCGATTACTATATAACAAATATACCTAATTGAAGTTGTTATTTTGATATTGTTATAATAATAAATAAAAATAATTTTCTATATTCACACTAAATATTTTTGATAGGGATTTGGGATAATACAAAATCAAAGGCAAAGACAAAATCAATATTTAGCCGGTCAAATGAACCCAGTCTTTGGTCTGAGAAATTACAAAATATGTGTTTCATAGATAGGCCGGATATGTTGATAGAATATCCGAGAGGAGCAGATGACCTTTAAATTGATACCAATTGGTTTGTTGTATGTTATCGGATGTGGGAATTTTATGCATATATTTACAAGGGTCTGGGTAATCTGATATTGTTTAGTATTACAATAGCACACTAGAGGGCGGAAATGTAGCACTGGTGGAAAGGGAAATTTTGCATTATCTACTGGTTATGGTCACGGATGACGCTTATAATTTTCGATGATCCTATTTCGGCAATGAAATGGACCAGAAAATTCATTTCTTGTTGGGTTTTCTAGTCGCTCTAGACACCACAGTTATAAGCCGAACATCACCAATTTTCCGGGGGCCAACAAATTAGAAGGGCTGTTCTGATATTCAGCGGTTCTTCTTATGGCGTAAATGTTCACTCCGGGAAAACAAAATTCGGAAAATATGTCGGGGTAAGAAAGAGTGAAACACTACATCATTTAAATAACCTCCATACGAGGTATTGATTCTTTTGAGGTAATTTTCGACCATTTTTTTTGGCACATATTGCACGACATCTTAGCCACAATTGGATTGTTAAATGTTGATATTTAACCACTCCAGCGCTGAAGTCTAATGGTGTAAAATCGTATGGTCCTGATGGCCAGTATATATCACAACGACAAGAAATTACGCGACCAGGCAGTGTCTCTTGCAAAAAAACCATATTTGCTCGAGTTGCGTGGCACATGAAAACACATATTCTCCAATTCGTATCCTTCAATAGCAGGCAAAATGTCCGTTATCATATGACCATAACGCTTCGAATTAACCGTGACAGCCGTTTCATCGTCATTTTCGAAGAAGTAAGGTACAATCACACCGCCGAAGCAAAGAACACGCCAAACAAAATATTTTGATGTAATGGTCGGTCTCTCTTCAATTACAAGAGGACTCTCAGAACTCAAACTACGACCATTCCGTTTATTGACATATCCGCCGACTGAGAAATGTCCATCATCGCTGAAGAAATGTTTGTTCGAATTATTGCCCACCACGACATTGTGAATGTCGGTTTTTAGGTGAGCTGGATTTTATATGGATGTAGGTGGAGATCTGAATGCAAAATACGGCATAATGTGGAGCACGACATTCCTAATTCCTGAGAACGACGAAGCATCGGCACATTCGGGCCTTACAATATTTGTAACCGCTCCTGCATTTTTTGATTGCTTCAGAATTATGTCAATTGCTTGCGTATTTCAACGATTACCATAACCTCCTCCTAAAGGACAATAAGTGGCTGTGGCAGAATCACAAAGTTTTGTAGAAGGTTTTGATCATGTCTACGCGTTGTGAGATAAGCAATACATTTTCGCTAATGTCAGATTTTCAATTGAAAGAAATCTAGTTTAACAGATGTCGAGTTCTAGTGCCACACTTTTGAAACCACGAAATGAATAACCCTTTACTTCCGAATGAGGTATAGAATGACAGGTG